CTTTATCTTTTAATTCCTTTTTGTAATCAAATTTTATTGTGTTCAATATTAATATTGCAACTCCTCTTCTGCGCCTCTCTTTATATGAACTGTGGTATAGATTCCTATAGCCATACTTTTTAAAATGTTCATGTTTTGGATAAATGAGTCTCTTGTAAGAATATAATTTGTGCTTTTTCCTTTTTCAGTTTTGTCATCACCCTCTTTTTTACTCAATGCATTCAAATGTCACATTCAGTGACATTATCTTGATTGATTTACTTTTCCCTGACAATATGCTTCCAAGCAACTCAAAACAGAACCAGGATGAACTTTTGCGAACCAAAAATCCAACAGACTTTCAAACATGGGGTATCCTTCTTCCCCAACTCCCTTTTGGTGATGTGTCCAACTTAAATATCTCACCCTCTCCCAGTCGGTTTTAATTGAATCCTGTAAAGTAAAAAAAAGCCTGAATGATTTCAGGTACTCCCTTCTAGTCTCTTCTTCTGTCAGTCATTTTATCCATAACATAGGTATGGTACCGTACAATCTTTAATAACTAGTCATTTTAGATAGTCTGTTTTGTTTTTTTATCCATACCCCTTTTCCCGCAGTGTCAGCATCTTCTTAAAGCAAAACTTTAAGATTTACATTGGAAATTTTGTAGTTTTTCTCTTTCGGTGTGCCACATCTCGTTTCCATTCTTTCCCCTTCACTTGCTGCTACCCCGCGGCTCCTCGTCTCTCCTCCGCTGCTGCAGCATCTCCTCCTGGCTCACAACATCGTAGCCCCTTTCCTTCATGTCCTCCGCTGCTGTCCTGGCACTTTCGTTTGTCTTCGTTCAGTTCGCCCAGTGTATCCGGATTTTAGCAAGTGGTGTCTGGAAACGTATTCCTTTCTCCTTCAATATTTTTTAATGCCCTTATATGCCTTTTGTTTTTGGACAATCTTGGTTGGATAATCATGGTCAAAGTAGATTTGTTTACCCGTTACCTGGATCTTTTTCTGCTACGCAGCAAATTGTGCAGAGTTAAATCAATACTATTGTATTTGGTCCTTTTCAGAATTGGCATTAATTTAAATCTTAAAGTTATAACCATTTAAAGTGTTAAAATTACTCAGTTTCTTGTGAAGGCTTTCAAAATTGTTTCTTTGGTCTCAAATCTTGAAGCCTAGAATGGTCACCCCAAAGAAATCATAAAACAAACCATTGTATTTAAACAATGTCAGTATAAAAAGGCAATAGACGCAAAAGACGAAGTAAATCTGCCATGTCTCTAAGAAAAAAATAAGAATTAATTTTTAGGTCCCCCCCATCATTGTTAGAACAATGATTCAGTCCGAAGTGTAGGACTGAACCAACTTTGAGTACTGGTTTATTGACTTAGTCAATGTATGGGGAACTACCAGGCAGAACCTTTGAGTAAAACTGGTTTCTAGTTCAGTACCCCACATTTCCTCTTGCAGACCAGTTCTGCATTTGTATAGCAGGTCAGAAATGCATTGCAAATTAGATTTTGTTTGTTCCACTTTCCCCCCTTCTCTTGTCCTTTGAAAAATGCATTTTTGAGCCATTTAGGACTGCTCGAATTATTCCACTTCTTTGTCCTTGGATACATGCTAAAATGAGTAACATGCATAAATAAATGTATATCCTCAGCCAGTATTGGATCACCTGGACTGTTGTAGCTCTTAGTGAGTTCCCCCAATTATGACACAGAGCATTTTAGTAGCAAAGACTGATGGAAAAAGGAAACAACAATGTGTAAAAAGCAGCTTTGCTGGTGAGTATGACTCCCCAGCAAGAAACATTTATTGAGCTCAAGTTTTACCTTTGTACATCTCAGTTTGATTAGTTTGGCAAAAATGCTTGATGACAAAATCATCAAATACAAGTAGATGCAGTAAGAAAAACTGAGTTGCTTAAGATTTTTTTTATGCACTGAACAATACTTGATCAAAATATGATCTTGTATCAAGAGCTGTGGAAGACAGGTGAGATCTTTTCTTCATTGATAAATGATTAATCCGTTCAAACTGGCTTAATCTTTATGGCTTCCATCCAGTTTCTTGAACAAGACCTAACTTCTTTCAGTCTGCATTGTTCCCCGAGTCCCATGTAGGTCCACCTTAGATCTGCAAACAAAACATTATCACACTCAGTATTCTGTCCTGACAACCATTAAGTTGTTCTGTTCAAAAGCATGCAACTTTAAGAGCCTAACTTCAACACCTCCCTTCTGAATAACCTTGGAGAATAAAGCAAGGTTATTCCCACAGGTCTCTTGTTGCCATGTACAATGTAAATATACACAGGGGCTTTGTACCTCTTAAAATGGGTTTTCATGGGTTCACAGTCAGAGATGTGATTGTAAATATACTTCCAAATGTAAACATTTTCCCTTAGAATACTTGTATTTATAGTAAAAAAAACCCCAAAACAAAACAAAAACCCTTGAGATTTTTCAAATCCAAAAATTATGCTGTAGTAACAACCAATATATTGTCTATATTGTTCCATTTTGTTTGGTCTCATCTCTCAATCATGATGATGTTTGAGAAATCCTTTAAAGAATCAAAACACTCCAGGTTTTTGATGAGGCAATATCACTATAACCCAATGTAAACTCAAAAAAAAAACATGCATACATGTCATAATCCATACAGAAACTGAACTACTTCTTGTACAGAATGAGGAATCAGCTGTAAGCACAAAAGTACAAATGTATTTTGAAATTTAACTGAACTACAAGTCTCCACAAAATAAGTGTATTTGTTTTACATCACAAAACTAATTAAATTAGCTTTTTCAGGATAGGGAAGCTACAGTGGTATGCTAGCCACTTGTGCTATGACAGGAACACAGGAGAACGGACCGGACTACATGGGAAATCAATACACAACTCGAGGAGGATTTGAACAAGTGGGGGATTTAAATCTTTTAGCTGGCATGTTTTACTCTTACCTGTTATGAGTCATGTGACTCTTGACAAGGTGCCCAGCAGCCAGAGCACTCAGCAGTGAGAGCTCTCCAGCCAGCACTGTGGCACATACAATCCTGGCCAACTGGCAGGCATTCTCCCCTGGGTACTGCTGACTGGCACCCTGGACTCCCAGCATCTGAACAAATATACGCACACGTTATGCTTCTTTATCCGACTGCCATTCATTTCTATCGCCTAACCCCAACTAAACCGAACCATTACCAGTATATACTTAACCCTAAACTTTACATGAACTCAATTCAATGCAGCTTGCATGGAGTGACCAAAAGAGAGGAATCAGAAAGGCTAAAAGAGATTACAAGAGGAGGATGAAGGAGCACCCAGGCAATAACAGCAGGCAGGTTTGGGTGGGAATCCAGCACATCAACTACAGCTTCAGCTGCAATGGAGCAACTGACGTGGAGATGTTGAACCACTTCTTTACTCGTTTCGGGTCGAAGCCTCCAGTTACGGCTGTTCTGAATGCAGTAGTGCAGTTAAGCAACTTTATCCTCAAGGTGGAGGAATATGAAGTGAGGTGAGACGCTCGCTATACTCTGTCCATCCCAGAAAGGCAGCAGGATCTGATGGTGCTCCTGGATGTGTGCTGAGGTACTGTGCAGAACAGCTGGATAGGGTATTTACTAAAGATCTTAACATCTGTCCCTGTCTCAGGCCAGAGTCCCATCATGCCCATCTCCACCATCATTCCCATTCCTAAAAAAAAAATAATAAATCACATCACAGATCACCTGGCTGAATGACTACCGACTAGTGGCTTTCACCCCATTGGTGATGAAATGTTTCGAAAGACTGGTTAAGAGTCACATCTTGGGGTTCATTCCTCACACCTTTGATATGCACCAGTTTGCTTATAGAGTTAACAGGTTAACTGAAGATGTTGTTGCCACTGTCCTGCATGCTGTCTTGTCCCACCTGGAACGCTACGCACAAATCCTCTTCACTAATTTTAACTTGGCTTTCAATACCATCCTCCATGACATATTAGTGTGTAAACTGGCAGACCTGGGAATCCCCTCTTCCACCTGTTGCTGGATTAAGGACTTCATGACAGATCACAAACAAAGAGTCAGAGTGGGCCTGCATACCTCTTCAGTTATCAGCATCAGCACCGACTCTCAGGGAAGTGTGCTGAGCCCTCTGCTCTTCACGCTGTACACACGATTGTATTTCGAGACCACACAACTGTAGTGGGTCTCATCTCAGGGGGAGATGAGCCTGCCTACAGGAACGAGGTGGAGTGACTTATAGCGTGGTGGACAGACAACTTGATCCTTTATACAGGCAAAACCAAGGAGATTATAGTGGATTTTTAG